AGAAAAAAAGAAAAAGATAAAAACAAACAAAAACAGAACAAAACAAAAAAAAAGAGAATATGATCAAATATGATCAGCCTGGTGCATAGATCAGTGCCACACACTAGATTTTGGGTGTATTTTGGTCTGCTAGAAGAAAGTACCTCCTAAATTTTTGAGGAAAGAAAGACATATATGTACAAAATAAGGGTGATACAATGAAGGGATGGAATATGACTGTAAAAATGAAAATTATAAACAATTTTTAAAAAAGGAATTGATCAGAAGGTGTTTGAAAAAATAAAGAAGACGATTAAAAAGAAGGAAAGAAAGAAAAAAAAGGGGAGAGAAAGTGATCAGGCAGGAGAATGGAAAAGAGCCATACACTAGAGATTGAGGGTATATTTTGATATGTTAGAAGAAACTGTATCTCAAAATTTTAAAGAGAGAACAACTTATATATATATGCCAAAAATAAAGGTAATTACTATGAAGGGATAGAATATGACTCTAAAAATGAAAAATAAAAGTTTTTTTAAAAAAAAGGGATTGATAAGATGTTGGTTGGAAAACGGAAAAAGAAAAATTCAAAAAAAATCAGTTAAAAAAAATTAACTTTGAAAGACTAATGAATCATGGTAAAAAAGCCATGAATTCTATGTGCAGTATTCCCCTCGCTCTGGAGTTCTCCCATTCTCCTTGATCGTTAAACTTGTTCTTGGCTGGCTGTTCCTGCCGATCTTCTGGGGGAGGGGCCTGTTGCCGTGGTTCCCAAATGTCTTTACTGGAGGCGGAATTGCCCCGCCCTTGCCGGGTCCGGGCTAAACAATCAGCTCGGGTTTGCTCTCCGGAGCTTTTGTTCCCTGCAAGCTTTCCGTATAGCATTGGAGGACCAGGGTGAAAATGGTGGCCTCCCAAACTCCGCCCGGGGGGAGCCGAGAACTTGGGGCCCCGCTCCTTAGTGCGCCCTCAGAGAAAAGCAGTCAGTCACTCCAGTCTCCCCACTCTCTGGCCGCACTCCGTGCTCCCCTGGCCTGTGACCGAGCGTTTCTATCTCTGGCACTCGACCCTGTGTGGAGTCTCCAAACCCAGCAGATCCCTGCGGTGCGGTCCCACGCCGCTCCTCCTGGGGGAGGGAGGGGAGTCTCCCCGCTCTGCCGCTTGTTGGGTCCCTGCTGGAGGAGCAGTGGCCCGACTGGGCCGTGGATCACAGTTTATGGCAACCCTGAGCTGAAAGCCCGCGCCTCAGCTCCGTCTCTGCAGCCGGCTTCCCCGCTCCGATACCTGGGAGCTCTGCTGCACTCAGGCACCCCCAGTCTTTGTGTGACTCCGAGGGTCCTGAGACCACACTGTCCCGCGAGGGTTCCACCCCCCGCTTAGCCACTGGAGCAACGTCCCTCAGCGGAGCCGACTTCTAAAAGGTCCGATTTTGTGCTCCGCGGCTCTATCACTCGCCAGAAGCGGCCGACAGAGGCCCCCTCCCCCGCCGTCTATCCTCCCGAATATTGCCTCGGATTCACTTCTCCGCACGTCCTACCTTCCAGTAAGTGGTCGCTTCTCTGTTCAGAGAGTTGTTGCTATTCTTTTCCTTGATCTCCTGTTGAGTTCGTAGGTGTTCAGAATGGTTTGATCCCTATTCAGCTGAATTCCTGAGACCAGACGAAATCCAGGTCTCCTACTCCTCCGCCATCTTGCTCCGCCCCCCCTCTAGTTTTTCATATATAATGTCTGGTATTCAATTAAAAATAGATATGCCGGAAGAAAAAAGGACCAAATTACTAAGACCAAGGAAAAGACAGTAGATATAGATTCAAAGATGATCCATGTGAAGTATTAAAACTAACCTTAAAATAACTATGATTAATATGTTTAAAGTAATAGATGAGAAATGGCAAATTTCATCAGAGAACCAGAATATGTAAAAACAAAAATGAAAACAGAAGTCTAGTGAAAATCCTAGAACTGAAAAACTCAAATCCTGAAAATTCAGAACTCAATAAAGGGGTTTAGCAGATTGGACAGAAGAGGGAGAGAACACATTGGAAGTAGAAAATATCCACATTAAAATACAAAGAGGAAAAAGTTAAAAAAAAAATACAGACAAGAGCATGAGATACACATGAAACAAAGTGAAAGATCAAACGTACACATAAACTTGAGTCCCAGGAAAAGAGAACAGAGAAGAAGCTATAAACAAAGAGATACCTGATGGGCAATTTAACAAAAGTGATGGAAACATCAAGCCAAAGATTAAAGAGCCTCTTTGAATTCCAAGTTATTTATAGTCTTCAGAATCTTCAATTATCTCAATTCTTGAGGTTATATTTTCTTTTCTTGTACCTACTATGCTATTCATGGTGGATTATGCTCTTGAGTATTTTAGAACATTTTCCCCTGTGGACATCCCATTCAGCCTGTGTGTGGTTTCTTTTCCTCGTAGTTAGTGCTTTTTTGAGTTCTTTAATATTCTATATATATTCTTATATATTCTTTTATAACAGTTATTTCTGTGTGCTATGATTTTTGCTTTTGTTTCTGATGATTCCAAGGACATTCACTGTTTTGTAACACTTTGCACAAATCTCAAAGATTCCTTCAGTATGTATATGTATAAATTAAAAAGCTTGCTAGTGTTGCTGTGGCTGAGATGCTCCCAGGAGCCTTGATTACCATGTAAAATCCCTTATGGGCAGATAAGGTTTTCTTGTCCACATCTTACAAGGTGCCACTTTAGATATGCAAACTCTATAAAGAGTTCTCCCTTCTTGGATCCTGCGTTGTGACAGCTTGAGGTCCCATTTCTTGCACCTGCCTGGGTATTAACTACCAACCTCTGATTCTGAGAGCCTATAACTAGATACCAACAAATTCCATAGGCCCTAGGACATCAGCTACTGTTTACAGTTTGAGTTCTCTTTTCATTTCTGGAAAATGAGAATTTTTCTTTTCTTTTTTCAAATTCAGCCATGTAATTAAAATACTTTTCAAGCATTTCTATTTGCTTGTACAATTCAATCAGCAATGTTGCCAAAAGTCCTATATTTTCAAGGTCCCAAGAAAATGAAAGATTTATTGCACTAGTTAGAAATATAAAAAAAGGTTATTACAGAAGCTCCTATAAGTAAAATTTGTTATATATTAGTATTTCTCCCAAAAGATACTAATTACTCCCTCTTGATATATTAACACTGAAGAAAAAGATTCTTTCAATCTTAACCTTTGAAAAAAAAATCAAACTTACAGAACAGTAATATGAAGACCCCCTTTATACCATATAACTTTCATCTAGATTCAACATTTTGCCACGTTTTATTTCTTTCCAATAGACAGCTATAGGTAGATATAGACACAAAGATTTAAATATATAAACTTAAAATCCTAAGACTAAGGACATTTTCTGGCATAACCAGAGTACATGTATCAATTAAATGTTGATGCATTACTATCCCTTAATATACATTTAATATCTGCATGTTGCCAGTTGTACCAAGAATATCCTATAGAGAAATTTTTATCCACATTTGTGAATTGCATTTAGATATTGTGTCTCTTTAGTCTCCTTAAATCTGAAACACTTCCTTGGTTTGTCTTTATATTTGGTGATTCTGACATTTTAAAAGAGAAATCATTACGTGGAATATTCCTTAGTATGGATTTGTCTGAATCCCTCATGATTTGATTTGGGTGGTGCGTTTTGACAGGAATACTACATAAGTGATGTGTCCATTCAGTGTGTGACTTAGGGAGACACATGTCCGTTGGTCCTATTATTAATGATGCTAACACTGGTTAAGGTTTTTTTCTGAAGTTTCTCCACAGTAAAGTTAGCATTTTTCCCTTAGAAATTAATAAATAACTGATGAGGAAATATTTTATTTTTTTAAAGATTTTATTTATTTATTTGTCAGAGAGAGAGACAGAAACAGAGCACAAGCAGGGGAAGTGGCAGAGGGACAGAGAGAAGGTTTCCCGCTGAGCAGGGAGCCCGATGCGGGGCTCGATCCCAGGACCCCAGCATCATGACCTGAGCTGAAGGCAGACGCTTAACGACTGAGCCACCCAGGCGCCCCCCTGATGAGGAAATATTTTAAAGGTGTGCAAATATCCTGTCCCCCAACAAACTTCCACCTATTAGCTGTAGCATCCATTGATGACATTTACCTGAATCAAGTTTTATTATGAGGGTTGTAAACGGTAATTTTGTGACTCAGTTTTTCCTTCTACATTTATTAGTTGACATTCTACTACCATGGATAACTTTCTCATCTTTTTCATTTCTTTAATTAGTCTCAATATGGACTCATGAATTCTTTTTTTTAATGGGTTAAAATCCATTACTACCACTATTCATTTTGCTGTTCAAGTTGTTCCATACTGGGCCAGTGAGAGTCCCTTCAAAGAGATCCCAAATAAATACCTTTTAATATTTACAATGAGCTGTTGCTAACAGTTTCAAATTGAACACAGGAAATAATACTTAGCACATACTTTGAAACAGCCAGAGTCTATTCTCTAATGAGTATTTGTGACTCACAGATAGGGTCTGTCTTCCTCGTAGCACACAGGTAACTCATAAAGATGAAATTTTTTCTATTCCCTACTATAATTCTACCTCTCTCTGACATCAAAAGAGACCTTGGCATCATGTGAATAATTTGTCCAAACAACATCATGGAGTGATACACAGATCACAGGTAAACATCAGTGACTGAACCCATGTGATAGGCCCTTTTGACAAACAAGAAAATAGAAAAGACAATTTTGAGAATGACCAGATTGGAAATCTTAACACACCAGGAAAAGGAAATCTTATTTTTCTTCATTTGAAAATATTTAAGCAGAAAAACACAGTGATCTAATTAAATGACTAATATTTCTTTAGGAAAAGAAAACTAGGAAATTGTCCAAGACAAGAAAATAGCAGCTTCAGCAGAGTATAAAAGAAGACAAGCAGCAGAGGGATTTTCAAATTCACTAAGCTCACTCTCTTACTAATATCAGAACCTCCACCCTCTGACACCATGGTCAACTCCTGTTGTGGCTCCGTCTGCTCTGACCAGGGCTGTGGCCAGGAGACCTGCTGCAGCCCTAGCTGCTGCCAGACCACCTGCTGCAGGACCACCTGCTGCCGCCCCAGCTGTTGTGTGTCCAGCTGCTGCCGCCCCTCCTGCTGTGGCCCCAGCTGCTGTGACTCCAGCTGCTGCAGGCCCAGCTGCTGCATCTCTAGCTGCTGCCGCCCCACCTGCTGCCAGACCACCTGCTGCCGCCCCTCCTGCTGTGGCTCCAGCTGCTGTGGCTCCAGCTGCTGCCGCCCCCCCTGCTGCATTCCTAGCTGCTGCTGCCCCTCCTGCTGTGGCTCCAGCTGCTGCCGCCCCTCCTGCTGCTGCCCCTCCTGCTGCCTGCGCCCAGTCTGTGGCCGGGTCTCCTGCCACACCACTTGTTATCGCCCCACCTGTGTCATCTCCACCTGCCCCCGTCCCATGTGCTGTGCCTCCTCTTGCTGCTGAGCCCCCTGCCCTGTGACCACGGTCTCTGTTTACCTCTGCCCCACATTTGTAGTCCCTCCTTTTGTGCTTTTAGAACACATGGAGTGGAAATGAGGTTGCTCAACTGAATTGGGCCTTAATTCCACTGAGGAAACCAATCATGCTGTTGAAGAAGATGGATATGGTGAAGAGCACTTATACAGTAACAGATTTTACTCTTCGACCTGACAATTGGTGAAATCATTCCCTAACTTCCCTTTTATAGGCCTTTTCTGTAACCTGATATATTTTTGTACCAAAATAAAGTTACTTCCCTGCATTAACAATTCAGTGTGATTGTTGCTCCCTTATGATTTTGTCTTCAGCTGGTAGGCAAGTGTATTTGACCTACACCTGCAGGATACACACATGGTCTTGTCACTTCTCAATAATAGTCAGGTTCCATTATTCACTGCCTGATTCTTACCTACGTGCCTCCTTATTTCATGGGCAAATCACCTAACACTATGAACCTGCCCTAGGAAAATAAACAAAAGAGTGAAAAGTAGACATTTGGAAGACTGTAGATATATAAAAGCAAAAAGAACACAATACATGTTTCATGCATCACACCAGCCGCCATAGTTATGCAATGTATCATTCAGCACAGTCTACAATTTGTATTCAGGCTTGTACTCAATGACACTGATGTCATCCTCGCAGTAAATCAAATGTGCACTGATTCCGACTCTATTTGCAACAGGGCCTCAGTCATGTCTCATTTTTTTCTGTTGATAGAGAAGTTTCAGATCCTCATGCATTCAAGGGACAGGTAGGTAGCCTAGATGAGTAAAGCATGCCCTTGATAAGATGATGTGTTTGGTGGAAACTGGGATAAACTGTAAACTGCATGACCACATTAAGAGGGTATTCCTGAGTTCCTGTCAATTGCTTCCATGGGAAAACGGGGACGCAGTGTTCTCACTGAAAGGTGGGTCTGCTTTCACTGACCCTCCCAAAGGCCAATTTCTTCACTCATTCATCCAAATGATATTTATTGAACATTTATTACATGGTAGGCACTGTTAAAGGTACTAGAGTAGCAGCAGAGACCAACACACAGAAAGCTCTCTATAGTAATAGAGCAGATATTCTAGTAGAGTTTATTTACTTTTAAATGTTTTTCTATACATTTGTCCACTCAGGTTTTTTTTTAATTTATTTATTTATTTGAGAGAGAGAAAGAGAGAGAGAGAGAGAGCACATGAGAGGGGGGGAGGGTCAGAGGGAGAAGACTCCCCGCTGAGCAGGGAGCCCGATGCAGGACTCGATCCCAGGACTCCAGGATCATGACCTGAACCAAAGGCAGTCGCTTAACCAACTGAGCCACCCAGGCGCCCGTCCACTCAGGTTTCTACACAATATTTTTTCTCTGTGCTTTTACTTGTATGAATAAGACTGAGGTTTGAAACCCCTCTTTAGATGAAAGTATCTGTGATACATATGGGGACATGGTTGCCAAAAGATCAGTTTTACTAATGATGTACCCCACCCTTCAACCCTAGGGCCACCGTAAGGTCGCCAAGTTAGGAGAGGGAGGTAGGGACACCTTCACTGATGAGGAACAGAATGGAGCTAAATCATTAATTACTCACTTGGGGTGAGAACTCACAGAAGGTAGGGCTCCCACACTACAACTCCCGAATCTAGTAAGTGAATTTGACAAGGACGTGAGATTTATATTATAAATTTATTTTATTTCTTATTAATTGTATTTTATATACTATCAATTATTTAATTAAAATTAAATAAGAGCAATTCTGTTTTCAAAAGCATCAAAAACATAGGATGTTGAGGGAAAAAGGCAACAAAAACATGGAAGAGTTCTGCCCCTACAGCTGCAAAATTTTACAAAGAGAAATTAGAGAAGGTCTAGATAAATGGAGATGTATGCCATGTCCCTGGATTGGAAGGAGGTTTAGTGTTAAAATGTCAATTCTCCTGCAGTCTATCTAAAGATTCAATGTAATCCCAATAAAAAATCTCAGACTTTTTAGTAGATGCTTAGAAGCAAAGAACCTAGAATTTCTAAAGCAATCTTGAAAAATGAAACAAAGGGAAAAGTGACATAGAAAGTAGGTAAAGAATATATGTAATAGATATCCCAAAGGGAGAAACAAAGCAATGAAACATACTAAGAACTATAATTCAAATGAAGGAATAGTTGTATATACCTGGATAAATCAGCCCATGGTGGTAAAAACTGAGACATAATAATAACAATAAATATATAACATATAATACTACATTATATTACATTATATTATGATGATATAAAACTACTGTATTTTAAAGAAAAAAAATCATTTGAATATCTAGGCAAAATATCCATGTCAGTTAAAAGGAAAAAGAAACAGGATAGTGTTCACACATTTTGATGGCAACACTTCATGTCAGAAGATAGTAAAGTAACATTCTTAACACATTCAAGGAAAGAAAATGTGATCCCAGGATTTATATCCAGCCAAACCAAACTCCATGCCACAAATAAACTACTGTGAACATGAGAGACCTCAGGGAATATTCTCCCTGTGGGCCTATCCTAAGGCATTTGTTAGTGAATGAGCTTTAAACAAACGAGATGACTGAAGATATTGGAGGGATATCTACATGAAGACTAGCAGAGGGTGATATATAAATATATTATAGGCTGAATATAATGAGAAATACATACTTCTTATCTGTAGAACTAAGAATGAATGATGAACAGGCAAGAGGCGTATGATATCTGATGGCTAAAGACTGACCATGTAGATATAATACAATTAAAAAAAAAAGAGGAAAAGGAAAGAGAATACATAAAGTAGAAAAATGTTGCTAATTGCCTAGGTAGTAACAGATCTAATGCTGAAGCTGTGGAGGATGAAGAAGTAACTAAGTCATTTCAATATTCCTTAAAATAGAGAATCAAGTAACAGCAGCCAGAAAATCAGTCTCGTAGAGTATTATATACAAATGTTTTTTTTTAAAGATTTTATTTATTTATTTGACAGAGAGAGAGAGTGAGAGCAGGAACACAAGCAGGGGGAGTGGGAGAGGGAGAAGCAGTCTTCCTGCCGAGCAGGAGCCTGATGTGGGACTCAATCCCAGGACCCTGGGATCATGACCTGAGCCGAAGGCAGACGTTTAACAACTGAGCCACCCAGGCGCCCTATACAAATGTTTTTTTTAAAGGTAACTGTTAGTATAAAATACAAACCTTGCTAAATGTCAAAGACATATTAGAAAAAGAGAGAATAAAGCAATAAAGGATTAGAGGTAAAGAGAAACAGAAAGAGGTAGAGATGTAGGTATTTAACATATATATTACATATGCATAACTCACTATGTGTTGTATGACACCATTCATTATATATTATATGTCACTATTCATTATGATACACATATAACAAACTACATATATAATAAATATTACATAACTAAAGTCAAACATATTGATCAATTGACCATACTGATACATGTAATAGGCTCAACTCACCTGTAAAAAGAAAAAGATTTTCAGATTGGCTAAAAAATAAAAACCCAACACTGCTGTGTACAAGAGATACAACTAAAACAACAGGTTTCAGAAGGTTAAAAGTAAAAGAATAAAGACATATCATAGAAAATGCAAATAAAATAAAGCAGAAGTCACAATTTTTATACCAAACAAGTTAGATTTTTACCAAAAAGCATTACAGGACACAAAGTGGGATACTTTATTATAGTAAAGGCTACAGTGAAAATATAACTACAAAGTTAAACTTCAGAAACAAATGGTGATGCAAGAATAAAAAGACACAAGCCAAAATCAAAGACTAACATACTGTGTACTTAAAGAAAGAACATATGAAGAAAAATTAATAAGAATACAAAATAACTACACATAATTAATAAGGTGGATCTTGCAGATATAGATCAAATTCACAACCCCCAAGGTAAAAAAGATACTTCAAGTGCACAGTATTATTTTAATAGGGAAAGCCTGAACACAACCCAAATGTCCATCAATAGGGGGCTGGCTAAATAAATCACATTACAGCAACAGAATAGGACATTTTGTGGCTAAAAATGAAATGAATATCTGAACTATACTACTGTGAAATAACATAACTCCGGGATAAATTGTTAAGTGAAGCAAAGCAAATTGGAGTAAAGTGTATCTAGTGTACAACCATTTACCTAAGAAACAAAGGAGATACAACTATGCAAATGCAAACACACATATTTAACATAGCAGTGGGAGGGAAAACCTTACATTATAAAAATGATTCTCTGTGGGGGAGGGAAGGAACAGAAATAGCAAGACTTCCTTAAACATGCCTCACTTTGTAGAATTTATTTTGGGAGCATAAGTACGTAATTGCAAAACAACATTTAAATTTAAAAAGTGATTCCTAGAAAGTATTTTTTTTAAAAGTCACTGATGACATGCTCTGTTCCATGCATGATGAAAATACTATAAGGTTCAAGCATTCACCTCAGGTGTCTCTATCCAGCTGGAGACAGATAATCACATTCAGGTTACAGTAGATGTGAGAAGTCTGAGTGTTCCACAATGTGATATCAAACATAAAGGAGGAGCAGATGAGGTTTAAAAACAAAAAAAGAAGAAGAAGAAATGTCAAGGAAAACAAAAGGGAGGAGGGAGCCCTCTGGGCTGGAACTTAAAGAGAGAATAAGGAATTGCTGAGTTGATGTGAGAGAATGAACTTTCTAAGGATCTAAGGAGATGTAACAGCACAATCAAAGGTATACACTGCATAGGATTAGCAACCTAACCACTCCTCTATGTGAACTCAGAGAATAATGAGTACTTCAAGGGTTCTTTAAGAAGAAAATTCAACACAGAAATTACAAAGCATTCAGCAGACTATCTGGTGCACGGCAAGCACAAACAGTATCTGTGGTATCTCATTTTTCACAGTAAGTACATGAGCCTTAAATACATAATGCTTGTTTTGGACACTAATTCTTTGATGCTTTGAATATTTGCCAAAATCTTGCCTTTCAATATACCAGAGTTAAGTGCCTATACAAACAGCAAGGCTTATCTGTCTACATCTTCTTTAAGCAGAAAGACTTGAATTTGAATTATGGAAAGAGGACAAGAAAAAGATGCTTTAAATAAAATCTTCTATATAATGCAGAATCTATTACATAAGTTGGCCACTCAAAAGAAAGATCAAACCTGCTTACCTTTGGCATACTATATGTGGAAAAGACTCCTGAAGGAAAAAGTTCATTTCTGAAAATGGTTCTTTCAACAAAAAGGAATGAGTCAAAGCTACATCTTGAGGTAGAGTCATTACAATGAGTTTAGAACGCCGTTTGTGACCCTCTGACTCTCCAATCATCCAGGAAACACAGTCCAGTCCTCCCCATCCATTGTACACAAGTAATCCCAGTGATGAATCTTTCCTATTTCCTTATTAGCACTCCACCTGACAGTAGCATGCATTTTCCCACATTGAGAAAGAAAGAGAGAAAGAGAAAGAGAGAAAGAAAAGGAAAGGAAGGGTGAGGGAGAGAGACTTGGCACTGTAATAGCCATCCTCAAAATATGATCATGGAAAATAAAGAATGAAATCCATGATCATATTTTGAGGATGGTTTTCACAATGACAATCCTCTCACTCTCTCTCTGGTCAAAGTGGAAAAATGCATGCTACTGTCAGGTGGAGTGCTGATAAGGAAATAGGAAAGACTCATCACTGGGTGAAACAGGTGATGGGGATTAAGGAGTGCACTTGTTGTGATGAGCACTGGGTGATGTATAGAATTGTTGAATCACTATATCGTACACCAGAAACTAATGTAACACTGTATGTTAACTATACTGGAATTAAAATAAAACAAAATATGATCATTGGAGTCATACACAAAAATGGGACACACAGAAAAAGTCGGTAATAGAATATCATATGACAGCTCCAACTTACAAGATACATTAGACAGAAAAAAAATGGGAATGTGGTTCAATGAATCAACGCTGCAGAAAAAGGGAAATGATGCTTTTCTTAGATACTGGCATATTTAACCTGATAAACATAATTATTGACTTAGTAACACTAATTGTTTCCTGGCAGGAATAATAACAAAAGTGTTCCTCACAGTAACATCAGCTACTCAGCAGAGTATAAAAGGGGACAGAGGTAAGGAGACATTCAAATTCAAGAAACCACCCTCGTGGAAACCCATTTGTACCCACTTGTGGAACCTCATTCCTTCCACTGACACCATGGTCGACTCCTGTTGTGGCTCCATCTGCTCTGACCAGGGCTGTGGCCAGGAGACCTGCTGCCGCCCCAGCTGCTGCCAGACCACCTGCTGCCGCCCCAGCTGCTGTGTGTCCAGCTGCTGCCGCCCCTCCTGCTGTGGTTCCAGCTGCTGTGGCCCCAGCTGCTGCAGGCCCAGCTGCTGCATCTCTAGCTGCTGCCACCCCACCTGCTGCCGGACCACCTGCTGCCGCCCCAGCTGCTGTGGGTCCAGCTGCTGCTGCCCCTCCTGCTGTGGCTCCAGCTGCTGCCGCCCCTCCTGCTGCTGCCCCTCCTGCTGCCTGCGCCCAGTCTGTGGCCGGGTCTCCCACCACACCACTTGCTATCGCCCCAACTGTGTCATCTCCACCTGCCCCCGTCCCATGTGCTGTGCCTCCTCTTGCTGCTGAGCCCCCTGCCCTGCGACCACCATCTCCATTTACCTCTGCCCCTCAGATATAGACTCTTTTTGTGCCAACCATTAGGACACAGGAAGTGGGGTTAATGTTGCTCAACTGAGTTGCATCTCACGATTCCAATGAGCCCATCACAGTCCCACTGACTCTGTGAGCACATTCTGGCCTCAGTCCAAATTCTACTTCTGGACCTCTCCCTTTCATCCAAGTGTGAATTTTCTTACAACAAAGCAACTACAATGTTGTATTGACCAATTCTCCCAAATTCTCCTTAATTTTGAGGCACCAGCTCTGATCAAGCTCAAGGAGCTGAAGTTTGATTTCAGTATTTCTACATTACAGATTTTTATAGTCTCTCTTAATTGTCCAATGGATTCTCTTTTATAATTCTTATCCCCCAAATTTTCCTATGTTATAAACTCTATGCCAAAATAAACCACCACTTTCTTGTATGAAAATTCAGTGTGATGGTACTCTTCTATAAGATTTTCAATGCAGTCACTGGGTAATATATAAGACTGATGAGTCACTGACCTCTACCTCTGAAACCAATAATACATTATATGTTAACTAATTGAATTTAAATTAAAAAATAAATTAAAAAAAGATTTTCTGTACAGTCTGGACAACTATATTTTACCTACATGTGTAGCACAGACAATATGGCTTTGTCAATTTTACAGAAGAGGGAGAGCCCACATTAGTCACAGTTTTGGTTTCACTGGCAGTTTTAAGTTCTTAGATAAAACATATTCTTGGGAATTCATGGATAAAAATCTGTGAAAAACTTTTTTGGAAAACCTGTAAGCAATTAATGCTCCCTGGGACATCTTTTCCATATTATATATCTGTGAAAGCAGTTAATAATTAAAAGGAAAATGAAATTGAAAGTACCTGGGAGCAATTGATGACTTGGGAAAACATAACGAAAGGCTGAGGGTGATAAATCAGAGATTAAAGGACAGATGTAAAAGTCAGAGGTTTCACTGGCAGCATAGAAATTGACTCTCATAAAGGGTAAATAAAGCTGAGGACCAAGGCTAGGACTTCATTAGAGGAGGAGCAGAGCTCCAGAGGTGGTTGTTCATTCAGCCTAGGTAGTTCGGCCATGCCAAGGTAGAGAAGGGGACCCTGAGATATGAGATGGAGACATCTGGATTGATGCACTTGAAGATCTTGAGTCCCCAAATTTCCCTGAACCCTCTGGGCTTGCAGAAGTGATCCGATTTCTTTGCTGACATTCAGTGCCACCTCCATTCGTGAAGATGATGCAGAAGCTTCACTCTTGAAAAATAGACAACACAAGCTCCTCTCACTACCTTCTCCCACCTCCCTTTGTCACAGACCAATAACTACGGTTAAGATACACAACTAACCCAGAGAATGGCTGAACCTGTAAATGGGAGACTATATCCCAAAAGATCTGTAGGACCGAAAGACTGCTTCAGAGATAGTGGTGTGCTTTTCCATCAGGAGGCCCATATTGTCCAGTTGTCTCCCTTTTTTTTGATGTTATCAGCTGTTGATGATCATTGCCTAGGACCATTATTTCATTTAGGCATAGCAAAATCATGATATTGTGATTCTAATATTCCCCTCCCTATTTATTAGCTGGGATAATTCCATAAAGAGAAACTTCACCTTGTCAACATTTAGTTATCCAGAGGAGTAGTACGTACAGGAAAGGCAAAATAAATGTTTGATTCTTTCCCTTTATTTACCAGTTTGCATCCCCCAAGGATGATGAAAGAGTTTGTTGTTTTTTTAAATTTTGCATTAATATGAACTCATGGATTTCAATATACTTGATGGTGAATCAATCCATTCCAGTTCATATCCCTCTACTGATGTTCAAATAAGCAACTTCAAGTTGGCCTCCAAGACCTTTTTTTTTTTTAATTTTTTTTATTGTTATGTTAATCACCATATATTACATCATTAGTTTTTGATGCAGTGTTCCATGATTCATTGTTTGTTCATAACACCCAGTGCACCATGCAAAACGTGCCCTCCTCAATACCCATCACCAGGCTAACCCATCCCCCCACCCCCCTACCCTCTAGAACCCTCAGTTTTTCAGAGTCCATCATCTCTCATGGTTCGTCTCCCCCTCTGACATACTCCCCTTTTCTTCCTCTCCTGTTATCTTCTTCTTTTCCTTTTTTCTTAAAATATGTTGCGTTATTTGTTTCAGAAGTACAGATCTGTGATTCAACAGTCTTGCACAATTCACAGCGCTCACCGTAGCACATACCCTCCCCAATGTCTATCACCCAGCCACCCCATCCCTCCCACCCCCAACCACTCCAGTAACACTCAGTTTGTTTCCTGAGATTAAGAATTCCTCATATCAGTGAGGTCATGTGATACATGTCTTTCTCTGATTGACTTATTTCACTCAGCATAACACCCTCCAG